GGTAGTAGTAGTCGTCGTCGTCGTAGCAGTAGTTGTAGTTGTGGAGTTGTAGCAGCAGCAGCAGCAGCAGCAGCAGCAGTAGCAGTAGTAGTAGTAGTAGTAGTAGTAGTTGTTGTTGTTGTAGTAGCAGCAGTAGTAGTAGTAGTAGTAGTAGTAGTAGTAGTGGTAGAAGTGGTAGAATAGGTAGGAGTAGGTAGAAGCAGGAGTAAGACTAGGACGGAGTAGGCGTAGGAGCAGGAGTAGTAGGAGACGATACTCGGGCATGTCTTACTCTGCGTGGCATCAAGCAGGAAACCTACCCTCAGCACGAGGGATAGTGGCCACTGCTGGGGATCACTTCGAACGATTGGCCTTTCTTTTTAAACAACGTGTGCTCAGCCAACAAAAAGACCTCCCTAAGAGACCGAAAGTTAAAACCCTAAACCCAAAACCCTACCAACCTCAACATGATGAGGCTGCGGGAGTGTGTGACCTCAACCCAACTACCAAGCTCTACCCCACAATAGGGAGAGGGGGGTTCAACAAGTACGATAAAGCTCTTTTGAAACTTTCGGGGGTCTTCTTAAGGAACCCAGAGGAAAAGCATTCCTAGTCATTTCAGTATCTTCGCTACAGGCCTGAAATGCCATAAGGCTTGACCCTAAAAAGGTCCCCTCCCTTCACAGTTTAGGGTTTCGGGTTCCTTTGGGTTTAGGGGTTTAGGGTTTAGGGTTTAGGGTTTCGGGTTCCTTTTTTTTGTCTCACCGGCGTATGCTTTGACATCGGTCTTGCCTGGCGCGTGGCGTCAAGGACAAAAGCTGGCAGCATGTACACCGTCAACTGCCACTGGAGCTCCCGATGTGGCCTACCGGCTGATCGAATCGCCAGACTTACTACCCTAAACCCTAAACCCTAAACCCTAAACCCTAAACCCTAAACCCTAAACCCTAAACCCTAAACCCTAAACCAAACCAAAACTCGCCCTCATAGAGGAGGCCTTAAAGCACTCTCTCAGTTCTTGCGACTGGCATAGCCCGCAGGGAGCTTCTCAGGTGGGCAGTCGATGATGTCGTCGCGACCGGTCCTGCAAAGCTCCGCGAACCGAAAGTGCGATGCCTCGACTAGAGCCGTATACATGAAGGGCCATCACTACAAAACACTTCTCGATAGCAACAACGATCACCTGATCTTGGTGGTGATAATTCAACAGAAAACACAATAAACATCTGGCACCAAGAACTACATCCAGTGTCCCGACATCTTCCAAGAACGTGATGGTGGCGAAGGCATTCTCCGCGATGTGCATTGGCCATGTCGGCCCCTGACAGGAAAACCCTAAGCCCTGAACCCTAAACCCATTCCTAAACCCATTCCTAGACCCTAAACTTTTGTTTCTATAAACACTGCACCCTAAACCCATTGCCGCCACTGCCTTGGCCTGGGCTCAAGGAAGGAAACAGGGTTCAGGGGGTAGGGTTCAGGGGTTTAGGGCTTTAGGGTTTAGGGGTTTAGGGCTTTAGGGTTTAGGGCTTTAGGGTGTAGGGATGGGAAGTCGTAGTAAGTCTGGGGTGCTGCTTGTTCGAAAACGATATAGTTGTGCTTCGTGTTCGACACCGTGTTAAATGATCATGAGTTTCGTTGGCATTCCTGCCTTGCTGTGAGTGGTGTCGGCGAGACTTTTGCCCCCCGAGATGCAACTGGCAGACTCAATGACCTTATTACTATGAGTACGAGTATTATTACTAGTATCAACTACTTTTTTCCTAATACTATTCTTACTACTCCCTAAACCCTAAACCCTAAACCCTAAACCCTAAACCCTAAACCCTAAACCCTGTGTCCTATTCTTGCTATCCCCTGCATCGGTTGCTCTCTCTCCCTCATCACCTTTCCCGGGGGAGCCTCTAGGGTTTAAGGCTTCGGGTTTCGGGTTTAGG